GTCCCTTCCGGGGCAGGCGGGAATCGAACTCATGCGGAAGCGGCTTTAGATTCTCAGTGCTGTGCTTTAACCCGCGGCGCCACCAGGGAGGGCCTATACCTCTAATTTTAAAGGGCTCTTACATAGTAAAAATTAAAAAATTTTCTCAAATCATGCAAATTTTTTCTCCTACCAAATTGTACTATCAGTGTAGCCCATCCTGGTAAGATGTTTCTTTGCTACTCCAGAGAGTATGATTTGGTACATCTTTGTTTAAGGTTTATTAAATGCTAGTGCCCTTGACCCTAAAAGGTATCTCTCAGGAGACGCCTAATGAAAAATTTAAATCATGGACTATGTGGAAAATAGGTAACTCCAGCAACATTTGTATTTATAAGAGATTTGAAAACAGAAACAGCTTTCAAGGACAATTAAATCTGGTGTGCTCTCTTCATGATCTTCATACAGTATTGTTAAAAATAAGAAGACAAACTATTTATCCTATTTCCCTATTTTGTAACATAGAGAAGTATTTATTTACTTTGAAGAAATATGTCAAATATTACCAATAAGTCTTTGTAGATTAGGAGGTTACAGTCCATTTTTATTTTCATTATTCTTCTTGGCACTTCCTATAATGAATATGAATTATATTTATGATTTTGCAATATTAACTTTATCTTTTAGAAGCCAAATAAAAACATGTTTATTAAGATCCCCTTTAAAGTAATAGAGAAGTACTTTGCTCTATTAATTGGGTGGGACTACTTAGTAACTGAAAAGAACATTTTATTGATAGATTAGAGAAGGTGTTTGGGGAGCATTTTGTTCCACTGGAGTTCTGGTCTTTCTCAGTTCTGCCACCAAAGGAGTATTTAAAGGAAGTTGTCACAATGGTTCATTCTTCTGCATTCACGTAAATCACATTGTTCTATTTTTCTTTTCCTCGAGGGCTTTCTGTTTTTCTTTTCTGTGACATGTATAGGACTGAGGTCACTAAAGGTTATAACTACACTCTGGGGGAAAGGGAGCAGGTTTAAGGAAACAGTTTGTCTTAATCTATCCAGACAAACAAAGTCAAATCATGTAAGGGTGGGGAGATAATTATCAGAACACGTAATTACCCCCTTTGCTCAATACGTATAGAAAATGGGACCAAATAATCTGGACAAGGAGTTAATTGGCTTTTTTCCCAAGTTAGTAAAACAAGTGTGACCATGTAATGTAGAGAATATAAGCCTGTACTATCTTCCCGTATGTAGATGTGAATATGAGGTGAGGACCTCATTTTCTGTTTCTCTTTCTAGAAGGAGATATTTTTCCTGAATTTGCCTTTCTACTGGGACATCCACAGCATAACACATTAGGAGTTCAGATCTATTACTGTATTTGCTGGCTGAAAATTCTTGGTATAAAGCCACATATTTTTAGAGCTAGAAGATCTTATGAATTCATTTTAATTTCGCGTTCTATTATTACTTTTTTTTTTGGGGGGGGGCCAGGTCTTTCACATATAACTAAGATTCCTAAACTGAATTGTATTTATCCCTGCATTATGTCACCTGAGCTAGGAGACCTCTGAAGCCTCAGATCTCTAGAAAGATTCACCACTGTTAGCCGTTGACTTCATATAAGTCACTGGTATGGTATTTAAGAAGATGGTTTCATTCATGTTCAGTTACCCAATAGCACTGCATTCGCATGTGAAATTATGAATTTATCTAAATGCTATGTGTTTCTTTTTGTATTGGAATTAATCTAAGAGCCATTGGTTTAATCTTAATAATAGAGCCTTTAGTTAAGGGTCAGGAATTATGAATTGACATTGTGCAGAAAGTGAAATGTCCAGTGGGACCAATTGCAGCTCAGTACCTCACAGACAAGGATATGCCTTCTCATGGAAACAAGGAAATTCTCTTGTCATACTTTGGAATCTAGACATGGTCTCTTCCTGAATAAAAAGCACTTTGACTTGAAACCAGTATTTCTTTCCCCTTTTCGCCCTTTATACAAAGGTCCTTTACATAAAGAAACAAGAAGCAGTTGTTGAAAATTTCTCTCTTGGTATTGATAAAACGATTTGTTAGGATTTTGTGTGCCTCATGGGTATCTAAAGTAGTAACCTATTCCCAGAATGTTAGCTGCCTACATCATCCCCACTTGGATAACCTCAAAGCAAAATTAGAATTCTTGATTCCTCCACAGCACACAAATCTCACTTCTCGCTTGGGAAGTGGAGGCCCGGTGCCCCAGTTGTGGAGGCGACGGTCTAAGAGCTAATCGCAGTGTTTTGCCTTCTCTTTCTCTGCAGCCACTCTGTCAGCAGCTCTTGTTGACATCACTCCCCACATACATCCCTGAATCACTGACCTCTCTCCTTCACTGTTGTTCGTTCCATATTCAAGTCACTATCATCTCTCACTGGTCTTTCACGGGCTCTTTGCTCTCCTATAATCTGTTATTGGCTACCAAGCGGCCAGCAGGAGTCATCTTTTAAAGTTGTTTCCTGATGTAAAGTCACCCCCTGTTTAAAGTTTTCATTGTTTTTTTCCATAACAGTTGAAACAACATCTTTAGCCCTCACCCTGCTTAACAAAGGTCTTTGGGACCTATCTCTCTGATCCCAGTTCCTGCCACCCTTCCCATCATTTGAGCATGACGACCATTAACCCCAGGGCATTTCCCCCCACCAGAGATGGACTTTTATCATTTTCTATGGATGGCTCCTTCTAATATTTAGAACAAGATGTTCTGAGCAATGTTACCCATATGGAGGCCTTTTCTGACCCCCTGATTATAACAACTGCTTCACTACGCTACAGATACCACTTACCACATGCACTTTCTTTCGGCCGCCTTAAAGGATCTGAGTAACTCTTACAGTCCTCACCTATGTCCAGATAGAAGCACAAGCGAGCAGGTACCTGGTCTTGTTCCCTCTTCACTGCTGCGTGGCCAAGACCCAGAGGAGTTGCTCAATGAATTGTGGGGCATGAATCTCAAGCTCTGCTGCTTTTCATATGCTTCTGAATCTAGCTTCCCCTCAATTGGTATAGCAATAGTTCTGCCCCCCCTCCTTACCCCCCTGCCCCCGCCTGTTCTGTTTTTACAGCAATCTGGACTCTATGAGTATAAAGTCTTTGGTGTTCTGGAGGATTGCCCACCGACTCTACTGGCAGATGTCTATATGGACTTAGACTATAGGAAACAATGGGACCAGTATGTTAAAGGTGAGAAAGAATTATGCTTTTTAAAAATCAATTACAATGTAGGATCTATTGTTATTTGCTCAAATCAGTAAAAAGCAGTAACCTTAATATCTCCTATATTATGTTACTTTTCTTTATTTGGCATGAATATGTTTAGTATTAGGTCAAAATACCCCTTTAAATTTCCTAGGTCTTTCTCCCTGTATGATCTTTGACCTACTGTCCAGTTTGCTGGGAGGGCTACTGTGCTCTCATGGTTAAGTTGGTTATTACCCTATATACCTAGGTGGTCATGGCAGGCTTCTTAGAGGAGGTGGCATCAAAGCTTTGTTTTGAAAGTTGAGTGAAAGTTTTTTTTTTTATACTGAGTTACCTTATTATTTTTTTTACATCGTTCTTCATTTTGTACATTTTTTCATCTCAGTTGTAATCCCCATGGACTTCCCATCAGCACTTCATCCGTGTGCTCTTCCTGCTCCAGTTTTGACCCTGTTCCCCTCTACACCCCTATAGAATATCTCTGGTTTATAGTCGTTCGTTGATTTTCATTTTTACTTTATTACAATATTACAATTGCTTTTTTTTTTTTTTAATTTTTTTCTCATCCCTTCCACTCCTGCTATGAGTGAAACCATCCAATCTTTTTCTTTCTGGCTTATTTCACTAAGCATGATCCCTTCTAGCTCCATCCATGTTGCCGCAAATGGCATGAGTTTATCTTTTTGGATTGCTGAGAATGAAAGCCTTATAAATTACAAGAATACATGGGAGGTGGTTTACAAGGTGAGAGATCTCAGACTCAGGGGATAGTATAAGTCCGGAAAGCATGAAGTAGCATGAAATGTTCAGAAGCTGAACAATTTGGTCTTGTTGGGCTAGTGGAATCTAGAGCAAGAGTGCGAGCAGTGTCCAAGACCCCAAGGCCAGGCTGTAGTTCTCAGGAATTACCCTGTAATTTACCCTGTAAGTGATGGAAACTTTTGAAGGCCTTAATTAGGCCTACTTCTTGGAGCTGACAGTGACCTCTGCCATCTCAGTCACAGTGGAATGGAACCCACCACGGGGCTCAAAAATTCTGAAAGACCCCTGTGGAAGTCAGGAGACTCTTGGTTGCAGGTTCTAAGAAGATAACTAATGCCAGTATTGGAAAAGGGGGGAAAAAGTTTGTTTCATGGCATTGAAAACCCATGAGTTTGGCTTCCAGGACAGCTGCTTCTAAAACTTAAAACAATTTCTCCATCTCAAGTGTTTTTGTCTGACCTAATTTCTTGGACAGTCTATGTCATGACAAAGATGGCCACGGGGCTTGTATTTGACCATTTACATAGCCCAAGAGTAGCAGGAACAAAATCGACACTGCCCTGCTGATGCTAGCCAAAGGCCCAGAATGGGCTCTCATCAGCTCTTCTCGTCATAGGTCTGGTGCTTACTGCTGGGGACATATGTCACCTGGAGTTTTCAAATTCTTGTCCATCTAGGAGGATTTGTGACACCTATCCAAAGGGAAAGCCAGGCATTCTCTGCCCCAGCTTTTCTAGTACCATGATTCAGCCATGGAATATAGATGTTGCAGTCAGTGTGCATATGGTTTCCATGTGGAAACTACCAGCATCAAAACATCCATTTCCAGTGACAGTCATGGCTAAGGCATCTTAGCCCTGCCTGAGTTGCATTCGGCATCAGCAATTGGGCTATGGTGTCTGACCCAGTGGCAGCTGCAGTTGGGCTTCTCTGATGTTCTGAACCTAACTCCAGTGGTCTTGGGTATCCATGCCTTCTCTTGGAATCAGCTGGAGTCACCAGCTAAGACACTGCACCATCCCTGAAACAGTCACATTGGCCATGTCTTGCTCATTTTCTCAGCCCTAAAATGAATACCAAGTCAGTCCTTCTTAAGTCACATATTCAAGAAGAGGAAAGTCGAGATGCTGCATTGAGACCCTTCTTAGGCCAGTGCTGAACATGCAAGAGAGAGCTGTCAACTCCTGTCTTCTTTTCAGAGCTGTCTGCAACCTCCTGTGGTACCCACACTCTGGCAAGCTTTGTAACTCATGGCCTGCTTCTAATAAATTTTCTTTCAAAAGTTGGACTAAACAATACATTTCTCCTATCAGCATCTCTTCAGTGGACACTGTTTGCTACTTCAGCTGTCTTGGTTCTTTGACGGCTCCCAGTTGTCAGAAGCACTGGACAGCTTAGCGTAGAGAGAGCATTGCAGGTGCATATTATTAAATCCCTTGCCATCAATCCCCATCCAGAAGTTGGACACACTAGCTGTTGCACACACTAGCACTATGAAGGAAATTTGGTCATAGTAGTTGTGGTCTAGTGCAAAGAATCACGGGAGAGAAGAAAAAAGTTAGGATTAGCCATAGTGAAGTTGCTTGCCATGGTCTAGGAAGCTCTTTAGAACCTTCACTTAGAACATTCATTTCCCACCTGAATGTGCTGGACTAGGTGACTCAGGTCCCAGGCTAGCTGTAGTGTGTCAAGGAAATCTAGAAGGGAAAAAACTCAGAAGCCACACTGTTGATACTCTAGTGACATCTGGCGGTTACCTTGATTTTAAAACCTCTGAAAATTTATTTTTGGATGCCTGATTTTGTTAGATTACATTTTGTCAGACAAGCTTATTTGTATGATATGACAGATACATTTTGTTGGATTCTTTCATTTTTACTGTATTTATAGCTCTCCTATGGTGTGCTTCTGGGCTTCAAGCTTGCGGGAGGAAGTATCTGTCTGTTTTTTTCTAGAATTCTGTGCCTTATGAGTTACTGATTATCATGCCCTAGAGGTCATCGTACCTAGGCTTCTAATTCATGGATGCCAAAGAGGTTTCTAGATGCGTTAACTTCTTTTTCTCTCTTCAGAACTCTATGAAAAAGACTGCAACGGAGAGACCGTCGTCTACTGGGAAGTGAAGTACCCTTTCCCTATGTCCAACCGAGATGTATCCTTTCCCAGGGTACACCATTACTTGGCTTTCCGAGTGTTTCTCGGTCCGTGGTCATCATCTGATGGTCTTCCAGGGAGTGTGGACAGTATTGTCTTGGATTCTTGCAGAAGCATCTGCTAACATTGTGGCTTGTGTAGCTTGCAGAGTGTGGTTCTGGGCCTGACCCCTTGGGGTGTCTATAATGATCAGGCAACAGCTCCTCCTTTCCTGAGAAACTTTGTAAACTTTAAAATTGTTGGGCCTCAGAATTGGGGGCCTGCAAAGAATCTTTATAAAGAGTGTTTAATCCACACCCAGTCTATACAGGAGAAAGTGGAGCATTCAGGATGTGAAGTTGCTGGTGGAGTGTGGGGAGCTTTTTAGTTAACAGTCAGAGCGTTTAAGAAGCCCCGTAGTTCAGCCTGGGAGGCGAGATGGGAATTTGCTGGGTGGGCAGGGTGGGGGTCGGTGACTGGTGGGTCTCACTCCTTCTCTGGCCTCTGCCAACACAGCCACTTTGTCACAGTGAGTCACCCTGTCAGATCCTTTGAATTCAGGGCCTGGAGGACTTAAAAACAAAGCTTAGAAGCTGAGCTAGGGGTCTCCGGGGTCCTTTCTACTTTGACTTTCTTTACATCCATGTGTTCCTAAATAATTCCTCTCTAGAGAGAGGGGTTGTGTGGTGTGTTTTGTGTGTATTATTTGTGTCTGTTTTGTATCTAAAAGTATGTATCAGTCCCACCCCCGAAGAGATTATAAATCCCTTGGGGTTAATTTCTTGACACAATTCCCCCACGCCTTTAGGTAGTTTGCGTTTATGGCATGTGTTTCCACACATGGTTGATTCCTTGGTCTCGTCCATTTGATGTGGTTTTCTCTAATCCTGCCAATACCTTTGGAAGGTAAAGATCTCTACCCCTGTTTCACAGCTAACTCAGGTAAAGGGGAGTTCAGGTCTTTGCTTAGGTTCACACATCTACTTGGTGGAAGATACAGATTTGGGCCCTGGTCCAGCTGTCTCTAGTGACAATGATCTTGACTTGGGCACCATCCATTTCTCTGACCTCCCAGGGACACTGCTGGGTGTGTTTTCTCAGGAGTGGACACTCAAGCCTCGTGGAAGTTCTATTTATGCATTGCCAGAGTTCCATAGTGAGCTATATAAGCACATATGTGTGTCCAACAAGGGCTGTTCAGTTCTTGAGGAGAGAGAAGAATGTAGTGGAATAGATGATGACCTTTGGAGTGAACGATCTGAGGTTAAGTGTGTATTCATTCCCTGCTTTGCTGTGTGACCTTTGAAAAGGCCCTTCACTTCTCTGGGCCTGACCTGGCGGTCCTGAACTGGTGGTGGGCTGTGTGCCACCCTGGATCTTGCAGCCCTTCAAAGACATGTGCCAAATTTAAATCAACCAATCAAGTTAAGTTTCCCTTAGTGGAATGATAGTAGGTGTTTTCATCACATGATTGAGTTGTGGGAGAGAATGGAGTGATATTTGCTGTGAGAGAAAGAAAAGGCTTGAGGGAGGAAAGCTGTGTCCCACGTCTTCCCCACCAGTACAGAGAGAGTAGGGGCAATAGACCACCCTGTGTCTGAGCAGTTCTATGGGGTGCCCCCATGAGGGGTGGGACATCTGTGAGTACAGTCGAGACTCTGAGGGGCTGGGGCTGAGATTGTTGCTCTGTCACAGTGAGTGTATTGTGTTGTTTATTGTGCCTTTTTGATGGTTTTAGACTTTTTAATTCCTTCTAGTCTGTAACCTAAGTCATGTCATATGAAAGTAAAAGGAGCACATTAAAGAGTCGAGCCCCATCTACCTATGACAGTCAAACTGATTTTAGCAGCCAGATCTGGGTTCAGATTGAGATTCTGTCACTTCAGCTGGACCATGGGATCTTGGGTAGGTTTCTTCTCTGAGCCTTGATTTTGTCATCTGTACAATGGGCCTACACATACAGAACTCACGGGGACTTTGTCAGGGTCTAACTGTATGCTGTGTGTAAAACAGTCTATTATGTGCTAAGGACTCGAGAAGTGGTAGCTCAGTAAATGTTTCTCAGAATTTAATTATCTTCCTCCGACTTGCACCATGGACATGCTGGTGGTTCTGGGACTGTCTACTGAGGTGAAAGCGCTTTGTCCTTCCTGGTGAAGCAGTGTTAACCCAGAGAGGGAACCTGCCAGCTGTGTGCTCAGGTGCTCCATGTCTCCTGTGGTCACAGGAGACACATGTCTGCCAGTGACATTATTGGTCTGCACAGGGAGGCCTGCAGTCAGAGCTTTGGACTAGGGCAGGAGAGGGCAAGGCAGGATTTCCTGAGAGCTTATTCTCCTCCAGATTCCAGCTCCCGTCACGCCTACCAGCCCTGCCTGTTGTACGTTGTTAACTTGCGTCTCTTAGATACAGAAACTGAGTCTGAGGATCAGGAGCCCAGGGTCAGCTTGCTGCTTCATGACCAGTCCTCTGCTATCTCACAGAACCTTCTGGGAGAAAGGAGTGTTTCCCCTGCATGGTTAAACACTTTGGGGATCATTTACAGACGGGGAAGTTCTAAATGATCATTCCAGGTGAAAGGAGGCCCCATTGTGCAGCACAGGCAGGCAGGTGAGTGACAGTACAGGGGACAGACGCCACGTGGCAGGTACAGACTCACCCCACTTTGTGTCGACTTGTGGGCTTCCTTGTGGTCATCGGCAACGCAGCCTTGACTGGCGGATCAGTACGTCTACATCCGGCAGCGGCGAGACCTGGATGTGGAAGGGCGGAAGATCCACGTGATGCTGGCACAGAGCACCTCTGTGCCTCAGTTTACCGAAAGGTCGGGTGTGATCCGAGTACAGCGGTACAAGCAAAGCCTGGCAATTGAGAGTGATGGCAAGAAGGGGAGCAAAGGTAAAAGCCAGGTGCATGTGGGTGCCCCGGGCCGGGATACCCCTGTGAAGACCAGGCTGATGCAGCGTATTCCCTGAAGTCAGAGTGTAGGGTCGGGATTAGTGGCAGGGAAGGGACTGGCATCACCCCTGGAAACTTGGTTAGTGCAAGGTGGAGACTGAAGTCGCACTCAGCCCATGCTTAACGTATCTTCCCGTTGTCCCGAGGAAATCGCAACAGCCCGGCAAACGGGGGGCTAGACGGTCACTCTGGGCTGGTCCTGTGGGGACATAGGCCAGCCTGAGGGTGGGCGAGACCTGCTCAGACCCCCTCAGAGGACACAGCTCCTGTTCAGCACTGAGGCTACAGCTCCATGCCTCTCTGCCCCCGTTACAGCCCCAGGGATAAACGCTGAGATGGGGCTATTCAGGAATGAGTGATCTCGCATCTTAAGTAAAACCTGAGCTAAGTAAGCCTTGTTATGAGCTGTCACCTTGGCCATGTGGCTCTTCTGAATCTGCAGTTTATTGTTTATAAACCTGGGTTCAATTCTGTCAACTCCTAGGGATTGTTAGGATAATTAAATGAGAGGCTAGATATAAATACCTAGCGCTGGTCAGGTCTTTCATTAACAGCAAAATGTTTAAAAAAATATTTAGATGTAAACATCCTGTAAGACAAAAGGGGGAGCGGGCAAAGCCCCCCTGAATTATGTGTGAGGGCCTTCCTTTTTTCTGGGCGTGAATAGGAAGGTAGGAGGTTCACAGGGTTTGTTGTATCTTTTTAACATTATTCCTCCTTCTGAATTGTCTTTTCTTTCCCCCTCTAGTTTTCATGTATTACTTCGATAACCCGGGTGGCCAAATTCCGTCCTGGCTCATTAACTGGGCTGCCAAGGTGAGATTCGAGGAGGCAGGAGGGGGAAGTGTGTTTGACAACTGTTGACTTAGCCCCCTGGGCTGTCAGGCTAAAGAGACATGCTGTCTCAGGCCTAATGAGGCTCTTTGATGAAGCAGTGAGCTTGAGTGACTACAGTTAGGTCTGGGTTGCCAACACCCCGGATGGAAGCTGGGACAGAAGGCAAAGGATTGCTAGCTGGAATGCCAGCCCCTCCCTGCAAATGCACCAAGACGGGCCAAGATCACTCTCTGGAAACTTCAGACAATAGTCTGCTCCTTCTGGGAGCCCGCATGCCTTGGGACCCTGTCTCTGCTGGTGGAGGAGTAAGACAGACCGAACTGACTCAGGAGACAAGCAGACATGTCCACCTGGGAAGGCCTCTACTTTTATTTTGTTTTGTTTTTCTTTGAAATGAGAGGGAATTGTCGTGGTAGCTAGGATCACCAGAGACTGCCTCGGAGCTTGGCATCGCGGGGACCATTTAGCCTGCTTTGTGCATGTCCTACTTACTGGCTGGAGGGCCCACAGGGTCCCCAGGAGAGAGAAGCACAAAGGCGTTGAGTCAGACATGTGATCCTGTATTCTGGCTCTGCTGCTGCTGATCATCTAGGGAAGCCGTCCATTATTTTTTTTCTTTTTAAAACTGGAGATGGATATTAACAACCTTGTGGAAATGGAGTAAAAGAAGGCAGCATTTAGAGAAATTTTTGCCCAGTTTTCACATCTAACTAGGTAATAGGCTATTCAACCCTTGGTCTCTGCATCCTCACCATCTTCACATTCTGTAAGGCAAGTCCTTTCTTTCCCTTCTTAGGAAGAATCGCATATCCCAGCTCAGTCCCACTTCCTGTCATGTTTTAGATTTTATTTTAAGAAGCAGCATCTCTGAAATGGCTTCACTTTGCACTAGCAAAAGCCAAAATATAAAAGCATGTCTTGCAGCAGAGACCCCGCGTGGGCTCTGACCTCTGCCCTGGATTTTACCTTCTGTTGACATCAGGTCAGGGGCACTATTGTCTTTCATTACTCCCCAAGGCATCTGTGTTTACTTTTTGCCATCTCTCAGAGGTCAGGAGTCATTGCTCTGAGGACATAGAGGTGATGATCTCTCTTGCTTTGCAGAATGGAGTTCCTAACTTCTTGAAAGACTTGGGGAAAGCCTGTCAGAACTACCTCAAGAAGACCTAAGGAAGGGAGTGGGAGCTTTGTGTCCATGGAATGATGTTTGAGAAGTGCCACAGCCCCCCACACCAGCCTTCCTTTCCTTCTTTCGTCTTCAGAGGCCTGCACCCTACCTACTGCACGTCGCCCCTGCTCCTGTTTGCCTGATGCCTGGCTCGCCTGGCTGCTTCCTTTCCCACTCTCCCACCCCAGGACGCGTTGCCTTCTTCCACTATTGAATTTGGGTCACACTGGGGAAACTTTTGGTTGTTTATTTTTAAAAAGGGAAGTCCTCCATAGGGAACACAGTCATCCCATTGTGCCCCATTGGGGGGTGGGGTGGGTGGAGCAGTGACTACAAAACCCAAGACTGACCATCCCGACAAGCTGGCTCCTTCCCAGAATGTGATTTCTTGCAACCCAGGAGGGGTGGCCAGAAGTCGCATGTCTCCACATGGCTGCTCAGCCCAGCAAGACTGGTAGACCTATGCAGAGTGCATTTGTATTGGGCTCTGCCGACATGATTCAACTGGGATATGACACAATAAGCCAACCAGTCTCTCCCTAGTCCTCTTCCTGAAGGATCACTGTTATGTGATCCTGTTATGATATCAAACCATTTTAGAAAACATAGCAGGCCTGACAGCATAGAATGTGACAGCCATTTTTTTTTTCTAATTCATACGTCCCTGGCTTTTTCTCTTTCTTGTATGTCACTGGGGGATGCCTTACCCTACCTCACTAGCTCTGCATTTAACTGGAAACAAGACATGAAGATGACTGACAGGTAGTGAAAGCAAATATGCTTTGCACACTGCAAACAGATAAAGTAACTTTATGTGCAATGAGATGGATTTCACTTCTAGAATGTTTGGAAATGTTGAAAATAGTTCACAGCCAGTGAACTATTAATTAGCACCTTGTGTGGAATCTATCCCCTTTTCTCAGGAATTCCACCTAGGTTGTCTGCCTCGTCCACACTGAGAGATTTCAAGTTTCTTGTTTTCTACTAAATTTTGGTAAGATGTCCTGTGGCCAGAGGCAGAGCCTTGAAAATCTCAGGGAAAAAATTTAACTACTGTGTATGATGGTACTATGCCTTGATGAATGGACATAGAAATTCAGGACATAAACCAGAGTAGGAAATTTACTGAAATGGGATACCTCAAACTATGTTTTCTTTCTGGGCAGAAAAGTGTAGTCCTACCAAATAAATACAGAGCCACTTATACTTATCCTGTCTGCAGCTTCCTTCCCACCTTTCATGAGGATGAATTCATTAGGTCACTTGTTTGCAAGTCACATCTAATCTAACTCATGGGCTTCAACATGAAACAGGATTTGAAGATCACTAATGCGAGGCCACGTGTGGGGCCGCCTCAGTAGCTGCTGATAAGGCTGCTGAAACTTACGTTGGGATTCAGCTGTTTCCTTCAAGTGAGCTTCCTTGTTGGGCAGTGCTTGGTGGCTGGGTCGCTGCTACCAGCACAAAGGTGGTAAAGTAGCTTTGCATCTTCCTAGGCTCACACTGAGCCAAAAATAAGCACGTCTTTTTAATACATACCAAATTATCCCATGATTCCCTCCATTCCAGGGATCTTCCCCTCCCTCGTCATTGTGTTCATGTGGCTAGAATTATGCAAGAAGCGGGTACCTCACACAGTATAATCGCACCAGTGATGGAGCTAGAATTTTTTTTTTTTTTTT